TAAATATATATATATATATATATATATATATTACCAAAAAAATCTTTTTTAAAAAATGATACCTTAATAATAATAACCTTTATAATTATCACTTAGTTAATTATTAAAAATAAATTTTTTTGATATAAAAAGATAGACTTAAGACTAAAATTTAGTTATTTAACCAAAAAAACAGGCGAATATAATTTTTTTGATTTACAAAAAGGGTTTCAAATATTATAAATAAATATATTCTTAAAATATTATTTTTAAATTTTAAAAGACCTGAATTCAGAATAATATAAAAAAAAAAGAGATAGAAAATGAATAGTGATTAAATTAATAATATATTATATAAATTATATTTATTTAATAAAAGTAAATAAATTTTAGCAGATATAAGTATTTGTTCAGAACTTTTAGATTGTTGGACTTCTTAAAAATAAGATTTGCCTTTTCTCGCTTATGAAGTGAGAACTTATAAAAAAGATGTAAAAGAATAAGCTTAAGAAATATTATAAGCAAACCAAATAAGAAAAAAAGAAATTAGCAAAACAAAACAATTAATATATGAACAAATAAAATAATTAAAAGATCAATAAGAATAATGGGAAAAAAAGACTAATTAATTTTACGAATATAAAAAGACATTTAATATATCTTCATTTTAGTAACTTTAGTATTATTAAGATTTCCCGTATAATATAAATTAAACTAATTAAAATTATTATTATTATATTAACTTTTATAATGAAAATTTAACAAATGATGAAGATATAAATTCTTACTTATTATTTCTACCAATTTAAGTAAAAAAATATATTTAAATTTGTTTTTATTTTTTGTAAAAATAAAATTAATTTTATATAAAATAAAAAAGTAAAAAAATGATTAAATTAAAGTAAAATTAGATAATGTTTATAATGTTTGTCCTGATATTTTAGAAAAATAACTTGTAATAAAGCTTGTTAATTCAAGAACTGAAATAGGAATAAATTTAGACTCCATTTCTTTTTTATTTAATGTAATTTTTAAAATGAAACATTATAAAAATAATAAAAAAAGTAAAACGATACATAAAATTTTAATGAAAGTGAAAATGATATTATGTTAATTAAATAATTAAGAAGTAGAATATATGAAAGAATCGTATTTAACAAAATATTAAAATGCTGTTAAAATAATATACCTGCTGATAAATATAAATATGATACATCTTTATATCCTTAAATATAAGTTGAATTTTTTATTATTTTTATTTTTTAATTTATAATTTTTTAAAATAAGATTTATATTGATGATAAAATTATTCTCAAATTTGAAATGAAAAAATTAAGCCAAGAAGAAATAAAGTTATATGAGTTAAATAAATAAACATTAAATAATTAAATAGATAATAATTAAAAAGTTAAAAATATTTATAATATAACACTTTATGCAGTAATTAATTTAAAAAATATAATTTTATTAATTTTTTGTTATATTATATTCATATATCTTCAAGAAACTTTTTTAAGACATTAGTAGAGAAAAATAAAATTTTAGATTAAACAAATATATTTTAAATATTAAATATGATATCGTTTAATAATACTCTTAAAGTTTTTCTGTAAAGACATTTTTTATTTTATATAAATATTTATTATAAATAGAGAATTTCTCTATAAAAATATGCTGACAATGAAACTATTTATGTAGGAATAAGTATTAAAAAAATATCTTAAACTTATTATACAGTTAAAGATGTAGAAACTATTTTAATAATTAAACCTTTCGAAATTCATTAATAAATTGTTAATGGTATTTTTATATTAACAATTAAATTTAATTAATATATAAATTAATCATATATATATTTATTTATTTAAATTTTTAATAGAAAAAGATACATCTTCATTAACTTCAATTTGTTAGTCTTATTTATTTTTTAGAAAGCTTTTAGGAATAATTGATTTGAATATGAATCTTAAAAGAAGTTAAAAATGATTTATTTAAATTAAATTTTTAGTTATTAATAAAAGTTTTTTTTTTTTTTTAATTTTTTATATATAATTATATTTGTATTTATTTTATTTAAAATATAAAAATATATTGAATTTATTCTTAATTTAATTATATAAACATAAATTTTAATTGAATTTATTACTATGAAATTAATTTAAGATTATATTATTTTAATAAGATAAAAATTAGTACAAACTAATATGTAATTTTTAGTAATATTTAATAAAATATTAAAATTAAATAATAAAATATTTATTATTAAAAATTAATTATAATTTCAATTTAATAAATTTGAATAATACCTTTATATTTAATAAAAATTATATTTTATAATTTCTAGATGTGCTATATATCAAATAACAAAAAAAGTGTCTTATTAAAGTTAAATTATGATAATATTTATGATATATTAAAAAATACACTAAAATAAACTAATTAAAGAATAAAATAGTTTATTTTTTCTGGATATAATTTGGATTAATAAAAAAATTAATTATACACGAATGAATAAAAGCAACTTAGCATATAATAGAGAATACTATATTGAATATTGCTTATATTAAGTTCATAAAATAGCAAATAACGGCCATTAGGTTATAAAAATATGATATATTAAATAATAAAAGATTTAAACTTAAATTTATATTTAAGAGAAGCTCTTATGACTTATGACTACCCTAAAAAATTAAGATTCACAAAATATATTAAATAAACATTTTTAATTTAATTATTTAAATATATATGAAAATAACCGAAAAAATATTTGTTAAACTGGGAAGTAAAACAAATTTATATTGAAAATAATTATAAAACATTACTTAATTATTTCTTAAGTATTAAAATTATTATAATAATCCTGATTGGGAAAAATTATTTAATAAAAACATACAAGCAATGTGTTTTTCAAAATATTATAAGAATTTTAAAAGATTTTATTAAATTATAAATACTAATTACTATAACATAAATATTGCAATATTTATTTATATAATTATATATGTTATTTATATTGTAATTTTTTTAATAAATAAGTAAGAATATTTCACTTAATATCAAATCAATCTATAAAAATTAATAAATATTTGATTTTACCTTATTAAATTATCAATTAAAACTGCATTTTGGATTTAATAAATTATTCGAAATTAAAAAAAAAAAACTGCTTGAATTAATTTATTTTATATCAAGTACAAAATATTTTTGGTAGGTCGAAATTAAAAATGATTTAATCTAATGAAAATTGAACAATATTTTTTTACCAATAAAATAAATTTTAAATATCAGTAAATATAAATTTATTTAAACCAATTTTTAAAATTTAATTTAATTGAATCCATTTATTTATTTATTTTTTTAAAAAAGTAGAAGAGTAATATTAGAATTTTTTATCAAATATAAGTGTTCGTAATCAATATAATTACCATAATTAAATATCATTATCAAAATTAATATTTAACATCTCTATTACCAAACTTTACAAATAAAAATTTATATTTTATAAAATATTTTTTTATTCTTATCAAATAAAAAATATTTTTTTTATAAATTTTAAAATTAGATAATTAGAATATATAAATAAAGTATTATAAATTATATTGAACGATTTGCATGAAGTCAATCGAATTGAACCGGTTTATTTTAATTAAAATTATACAAACTGTTTTATTTAAATTAGGAAAACCATTCTATTTAATTAATTTATTTAAATGGTTTTATCTGTAACTTCTCTTAAAAATAATTAAATTTTAATATTTTTTTATGTATATAAACTATTTTTTCATTTGTTCTATAATTAAAATAACTTTGAAAAATTAATGAATTAATAATCATATAAAAAAAATATAGATAAAGAAAAAAATCAAAATAATAATTTTTGAAGTCTTTTTCTGCCATCAATAGTTAATTAATGGGTTGAACCTAATTTTATGAAAACCTAATTTAGTAATTTAATAGCTTTTTTATCTTCCCAACTCTTATCAACAGAAATAATTTAGAAAAGATTTAGAATAGAATCCTCATAAAGTGATTTTTCAAATTAAAAAACAGCCAAGTCATAAATATATTAATAATTTTAAGGATTTTCATCAATTTATTTTTATTTATTAATAATTTCAGGATAGCTATTATTTATTTTTTAATTTAATTATTTAATTTAACTTTGTGCTAATTCAATTAATTATTTATCAAAGCTATCTAAATCATCTGCATTTATATTTTTACTTAAGTATTATAAAGCTTAATCTTTGTTTTCTAATTTCGCATATGTATATGCTAATAAACAATTAAACTTTTTTGAATTCTTTTACTCATATTCTTTATTTTCCCTTAGCTTTTATAAAAAGTTAAATAATAATTAAATATTTATAATAATAATTTAACTTTTAATATTATTTATAAACTCTCATTTATTGTAAAACCTATATTTTTTATTTCGTTTAATCAAAATAATTATGAATTGAAAATGTAATTGAATAAACTGGAAAAATAAAATATAAATGAATTTTAAAAATAATATTAAATAATATATTTAATGATATTTTTTAATTTATGTTTAAAGAATAATAAACTTAACTAAATAGTTTTTTATTTCATTTTTTAATAAAATAAAACATGAATAAATTGTTGACTTATTAATATATATATATCATTTTCCAAAAAAGTTAGGGCAAGTGCCATTTTTTCGCGTACTTCATCATCAATAGGATTCGTGCATGATATAATTTCTATGTTTTTTAAAAATTATTAAAGTATTTAATAATCTGGAAAACCAACAAAGCCATCAATTGATTACTAATCTTAAACTAAAAATACTGCTGGAATGGATTTTATTTGTAAACCTTAAGCTATTTATGGAAATTTATCTATATTTATTTTTATTAATTTCCATTTTCCTTTAGAATTCAAAGCTTACTTTTCTAATATAGGAGTTAATTTTTTGCAAGAATCACACCAGCTTATTTTTATATGTATTTTTTTTTTTTTTTTTAATTTATTTACTCTGCATAACAATCTAATACTATAGGAAGTTTGGAATCAATTACTTCTGTTTACCATTAATTTATATCTGTTAATTAAATTGTATTTGAAATTTTATATTATATTGTTTTTTATCTTAAAGTTGTTAATTTTAGAATTTTTGAAATCATTTTTTATACTTTTTAAATTTATTTAAAAAAAAAAAAAAAAATCTTTACAAAATTTTTATTAAATCTTTATAAAAAATTTATTTTAACTTATGTTTATATTTAAATAGTTATTTTTATAAAAAATAAAAAAATTATTAAATAGAAATTAATAAAGATTTAACTATATTTAGAAATTTTAAAGAGGTATATTTATACAGTAATTTATAAAGATAATATATTTTAATTTATAATTCTAACCTCCACTCTTTTATAAACTTGGGGGTAAGAAGTTTGAAAATAAAAAAAATAACTTTCCATTCAGATTTAAAACTTTTAAAAATCTCAAAAGTCGATACACCTAATAGTTTATAGTTTTTTATTAAATAATAAATAAGCTAATAATAAAATACTGTTACTTTTGAGCATAGGTTTTATAATTATAATTTTTTAAAAATTTAATTAAGGAAAAAATAAAAAACCTTAATCTATTTTCTTGCTTTTATTTTGTCAATTGAGATTATTAATAAAAAATAATAATGTTATAAATTAATATTAATCTGTTATAAATTAATATTAATCAAAAGTATTTTTTTTAAATAATTAGATAAAAGCTAAAAATATTTTTTTTAATTATTTGATGTTATATAATATTTTTATTGATTTAATTAAGCCAATATTTTTATTAAATTGTTCCTTTTACTTTTATATTTATTACAAACAATTATATAAAAAAAACTAAACTATTAGAATATTTTTAAATACGCGATTATATTGCATATAGCATAATATATATACAATATTTATAATTTATGCGATTCCATATTTTTTTAAAACCTTCTGCCCATTTTTAAGATTTACTTTTATTAGTTTATATTTAAAAATATATATAAATAAATACTTTTGATTAAATCGAAATTTGACAAAAATATAAAAAAAAAAAAAATTATTTTTTTTAATGACATTTTTATATATTTTATATAATTTTTGAAAAAAAAAAAATTGACATATAAATATTTTTTAATTAATTATATCATATGAAATTTTATTTCTTTAAAATCAAATTTTTATTTTAATATTTTTTTATTTTTTATTCATTAATTATATGTAATTTTAATCTATAAGATTTATTTTTAAAATAATATTTTTTATCCTAATATGACAGGAACTGAAATTTTATAAGATGAAATTTAAATAACTAAAACATTTTTTTCTGGCATGAAATGTTTTTACTTAAATATTTATAATTATTATTACCTAAATAATATCTAAAAAACTGAGGAATCCCAAAATATTTTACTTATGAATATTCACAAAATTTACTTTTTGATAAAATAATTGTCCCAAAAAAAAATGAAATTTTATAAAAAAAAAATTAGGCAAAAGCAATTTCTTATAATTATTGAAGGTTATTTAATCTAAATTTATTGAATTGAAAAAAAAAGTTAGTTTGAACTCTTTTTTTTTTTCTTCAAAATAATATTTAATTGATTTTTGGTTAACTTAATTAAAATATCTCTAATTTTTTGTAACAGGATAAGGGGATTAAATAATATATAGAAAAATTCCAAAGTAATATTATATTTTTATTAATAATATTATTAAATTTATTTTTTAGAAATTATACCATTAATTATATAATTAATTTTTTTTTTAAATAAAATTTTTAAAAATTAAAATATTAGAAGAAACCTTTAAATTCATAAGAAGATATGAGAAAAAACACAAAAGAAGATATTTTTAACGTACTAAAGAATTAATAGTAGTAGAAATACATGCATAAAATTTAAGAACAAAAAAATAGTAAAGATTAGATGTACAAAAAATTTTTTTTGGAAAATAAAAATATAGAATATAAAAAAAATTAAAAGATATAAGTTAAAATAATGTGAATATAAAGAAGAAATATATATATATATATAAAAAGTAATTATTTATTCTAATCAAATATTAAAAAGAAATATAAATAATCTTTTATATAATATATTAAATAAATAAGCTGAATAATAATAACAAAATCAAAGTTATATATATATTTATTGTTAAAAAAGTACAATTTGAAAAATCAATTTATTAAATAA